CCTGCCTGTGGGGTCTGTGGGATCTGTGGGGTCAGCTCCCCATCCTGCCTGTGGGATCTGTGGGATCAGCTCTCATCCTACATGTGGGATCTGTGGGATCAGTTTCCATCCTGCCTGTGGGATCTGTGGGGTCAGCTCCCCATCCTGCCTGTGGGATCAGCTCCTCATCCTGCCTCTGGGATCTGTGGGATCAGCTCCCCATCCTGCTTGTGGGGTCTGTGGGATATGTGGGATCAGCAGCTCCCCATCCTTCCATTGGGATCTGTGGGATCAGCTCCCCCTCCTTCCTGTGGGATCTGTGGGATCAGTTTCCATCCTGCCTGTGGGATCTGTGGGATCAGTTTCCATCCTGCCAGTGGGATCAGCTCCCCTCCTCCCTCTGGGATCTGTGGGATCAGCTCCCCATCCTGCCTGTGGGATCTGTGGGATCTGTGGGGTCAGCTCCCCATCCTGTGGGATCAGCTCCTCCCCTCCTTCCTGTGGGATCTGTGGGATCAGTTTCCATCCTGCCAGTGGGATCAGCTCCCCTCCTCCCTCTGGGATCTGTGGGATCAGCTCCCCTCCTCCCTCTGGGATCTGTGGGATCAGCTCCCCTCCTCCCTCTGGGATCTGTGGGATCCTGCTCTGCCCCCTGAGCTGGGTGTGCCGTGTGGGGGGCACTGTGGCTGGAGCTGGGATTTCCCTGTCAGAGCAGGACACTCGAGGCGTGTGCTGGCATTTTAATGTGCTTTTATCCAAGCAGCCATATCCTTTCTTCCTTTTTTTTAATTTCCTAAACTTCATTAAACTCCCCAAACCTTGGTTTTCACACCCTCAGACAGAGTTTTCTGCCACGTTTGTTGGTGGAAACATTAAAAACTGGACCTGCCATTTTTATTTTTGGGGGTTTTTTTTCCCTTAAACCCTCTGTGCTTGTGTCTGTTGCTGACATTCTCTTCCAGCTGACCAGCTTTGCATCCTTCTCCTATTTTTCCTTTTTATTTTATTTTTTTAATCACAGAACTCCCCATTTTGTAACCAGCCAGAAGGTGACATAAGGCAGCTAATGAATTAAGTTGGGATTTCTGGTGCAGATCTCGAATCCTGTTTGGGATTTCGGAGAGTTCTCAGATGCTGTGATACACTAAACACGATCAGGAAGGACCCTGAATCCGTAGGGAGCTGAGGATGCTGAGCACAGCTGGGGAATGGAATATTGTCCTGTGTGATTCCCTAAAGCCTGGATTTTATTGAGGCTGGTAAATCCCCTTTACCTTATAAAAAATTGAAGTTCTCTAACGTTCATGACTCTCATGGAACTACTGTTGCCGTTACAATAAAGATGATGTTGTTTCATTGTAAATCCAATTTTATTTTTTAAAGTGGTTTGATTATTTTATTTTTTATTTTTAATTAATTTTTTTTTTTTCCAGAACAGCTTCATGCTGCAGGGAAATTTCAGTCATGAAAAAGAAAACGTAACCCCCTTCACCTCTCCCACACCTCTTCCCACCTGCTGCATTTCTGGGAGAGCAGAAATTCCCTCAACTTCTTGGGTAACTCTGGGAAAATAAACAGCCACATTTTAAAAATAAAAACCATTTTGGGGGTAGAAAACACTTCTTCTGCAAATCTCTGGTTCCCAGAGCTGTTCCCCTGCAGTCCAGACTGTCTCAAGCCACTCTCCACTGGCTTCTTAGGGTTTTTTTTTTGGGAATTCAAATATACAATGAAAATTCCAGGTGATCTGGTTCTTCACCAGATGTTTTCTGAAGTGTATTTTATGAATCTCACCTAAAATATATTTTTGGTTGGTTTATTTTTCTCCTAACACAATTAAGAAAAGGCTGTGAAATATAATTTTTTTGTTGTTGTTTCAGTTCAGCTTTTGGATTGTTTTGTCCTGGCAAGTTTGGCCCTTTATTTTACAGAACTGTTGTGCTTTCTCACACCTTTATTCCTGATGTGTTGGAGGCTGCCTGATGCTTTCTGAGTGTCTCACAACCCAAATGTTATAAAAATCCCAGATTTTGAGGATTTTGTCACTTTTTCTAACCCTGTTTTGCTGATGGATGCAAACATTAAGCCCTCTGTTAGAAATACAGCAATTTCACATTTTTACAGACAGGAAAAAATAGTCCAGGTGAATATTTTTATTATTTTAAATCTATTTTAACATCATTTTTCAGCAGCAGACTTCTCACCTTTTTAAATGCACATAGGAATTAATTTGTATTAAACATTCAGGAAGGAAAGCTGGGAAAATGCCTTTCTTTAGGATCACAAAGAGATTTTGGTGGAGCAGAAAGTTTCATCCACAGGAGGAGGAGGCTTTGAAAATATTCTGTGTCCCACAGCTCTATTTCTAGAGCCTTTGCAGAGAGGTAAAATGAATTTATTCCAAAATTCACTCAGTCTCCAGCCCTGGTCTTGCTTTTAAAATTCCACCTTAGAGTTTTCATCCTGTCCTTGAATCCACAGCGCCACATCCAGCCCTGAACTTGTCAAAATCAGTCAAAATCTGCAATTTCAGCTGGAGTTCTGTGCTAGAGATGGTTTGCTTCAGTTCCAGGGGGGTCAGGAAGGGTTTCAAAACAGAGCAGCTGATGAGTTTTTAATCAATTTTAATTTCCTCAAGGCAGAGAGAGCAAGGGGAGAGCTGAAGCAGCAGCACCAGGGCAGTGGCACAAATCCAGAATTCCTGTTTTTCCCCCTTTCTTTTTCCCCCTTTCTTTTTCCCCCTTTCTTTTTCCCCCTTTCTTTTTCCCCCTTTCTTTTCCCCTTAATTTTTCCCCTTTCTTTTTCCCCTTTCTTTTTCCCCTTTTTCCCCTTTCTCCCCCTTTCTTTTTCCCCCTTTCTTTCCCCCCCTTTTCCCCCCCTTTTTTCCCTTTTTTCCCCTTTTTCCCCCCTTTTTCTTCCCCTTTTTCTTCCCCTTTTTCTTCCCCTTTTTTTCCCCTTTTTTTTCCCCCTTTTTTTTCCCCCTTTTTTCCCCTTTTTCCCCTTTTTTTTATTTAATATTCCCTCCACTGAGGTCACAAAGGTGTAAGAACCAGGTGAGGGAGGGAGAGAAGGAATCAGAACCATGCTGGAACCTTTTTTGG